CTGAGAGGAGCAAAAAGCAGGAATGGTGAAGTCTGCACACAGTGAATCTCTGCTAATAAATTTGAAATATTTATTTTAAGATTCCTCTATGTGAGTCTTCTCATTTCAGTGAGAATAAGGTTTTGCATATATGCATTTATGAGAACTGAATGAACATCAGATGAAAAAATAGTCTTGGTGAATAAAAACAATTTGAATATCTCACAATCAACTGAACATGGACCATTTTCTTAAGTTACTGTTTCCACTGTTGACAACAATTGGCGTATATACACAATAATAGTCAGGAAAGTAGAGATCTGATCGTCTGGGCAAGCAGAACTCTCAAAATACAAATGCAGGGCAATGTCTGGCAATATTGTGAGATGTTTAGTTCATATTAAGCACAGTCAGATAATATTAAAAAAATGTAACTCACATATACTCACATCTGTTAAGACTATATTTGCATCCTGACATCTGGACTCACTGGAAAGAGAAAGTCCACATACGTTAAGGGCATATATGGTAGTTTCTTAATAATATCTCCCTATATTTCCCTTCTTTCCGAACCCATGAGTTGTAAGTCAGCTTAGGCAATGGCATTATTTTGGAAGGTGAGGTCTGGGACATGAGAGGTGATATAGCATGTGTTGTAAATTAATTTGCAGATAAATAATGTAATTCTTAAACAGAGTTAGTGGCACAGGAGGCAGAGTCTGCTGGTTGCATGATGCTGCTTCTGACTTCCAGCTGTTAAACTATGTTTGAAAATCACCTTACTGCACAGCCTGCTCATGTTTTCCTAGGAAAATAATTGTCAGTGGGATGCCATATCACTGTGAATGGGGGGGAACACTGCTGTGAATTCTCTTGAATAATGCACAGTACGCCCTTGCTATAGCTGAGACTGGTAAGAGTTCCTCACAACCTGTCCTATAGCCCGAAACACTGTTTTTAGCCCTCATTCTTCTGCTCTTCTATGCCATTCACTGCCTGTATCAGGAACCTGCTGCCCACAATACTGACACAGCACAGGTCAAGAATCATTCACTTGGTAAGATAGTTTATGGACAACTGTTACAGCAAGAGCTAGAAAAACAGGATCTAGTTAGCGCATGATTTAGGCACTTCTTCCCACTGAAATTGGCAGGAGTCAAGAACCTAGACATCTTTGCAGATCTAGGGCAGGCTGCAGAACGTATGTGCCTACCTACATTCAGGATAATCCGTGCTGGCATAATGGCTCTCTGCACCCTCCACTCATGAGACTGCACGCTGAGGGTTGTGCTGGCTGATACTCCCACCCCTGAAATTCTGTCCTCCTGCAAATAGGTGAAGTTACACCCTTACCCTCAGTGCTCCCAGATTCAGTTTCTCCAGATGACCCAAGATGATGTGATACTTGGTTACACTGTCTGAAACTGCCAGTCTGTTCTCTGCAACAAGAAGATGGAATAGGAATTAGGAGTCCTGACAGCATCCACCTTCTGTCTCACACATAGCTGCACGGTATGTGCTGTGACAGACTGGTCCACATGACAAGCAGCAGCAGGTTTTTATTCTCACTCCTACCACTCCCAAGTGACATGTATAGCTTCAGTGAAAGAGGTTTTTGTGATCAAACTGAAAACTGAATTCAGATTAAACTCCACTAATCTATGTGGAGTCATCTTATTTCACATATAGTACAAGCTACTGTAGGAATGTGACAGTAATTGTTGAAATCCTTTTATAGTGCACAATATTCTTGTTAAAAGGGAATTTATATGCTGCGTGGTATTTCCTGTACTATTGTGCTTTTTAGCTTTTAATTTTTGGTTAATTTGGGTCGCCTCTTTAAGAACACTTTTTGCTACTATATTGTGTACTTGGGACAAAGAGCAGTCTGTGGGATATTTTGCTCTTGCCCTCAATGAGTAAAAGGCTCTGCTTGTCTGAGCACTAAGAAAGGTCAAACACAGATTTCAAGAAAGCAAGCACCATCTTCAGAAACACAAGATTAGTGTTTGTATGAGACTGGATAAAACAGAATTTCCTCAGCAAGGTATTGAACCTTTCAGCTCATGTTGAACTTTTTAGTACTTTGACTCCCACCCAGCTCAGCATTTTGCATTTTGTACTGTATTACAAAGCCTTTGGAATAGGGAACATTTCTTGCTATATGTTTGTGTACTGCATTGTACACAATGGGCCAACACAGTCTTGTTTGGATCCTCTCTTGAGACTTTCTGTGTTAGGGTCCAAAAGCATATTACTCATAATGAATTTGCAATGCAAATTTGACAGCACTCTACTAGTCACACAAAGTGTAAGAATAGAAAATTGTTCAAGAGCCCAATAATTTTGTACTGAAAAATGAAATATTTTAAACATATTTTGAAAGATAGCTTAGGCATAGTTGCAGTCTGTAGTCCAGCAGAAGTAAACATAATGAAGTACTAAGTGTTATGTATTTATATTTTGCAGGATTAATTTGAACTTGAAAATTAAGCAGAGAAAGCTGCAAACAAATTGCTAGATTCCTTGCAATGAAAAGGTATGATTTTTAAAAAGTCATTAGGAAAGTTCCTAGAAATCAACTTTTAATGTACTATATTGTTATTCTAGTCATGTATTATAATAAAACCCTTATATTGATAATTTGGAATTATATTAAGTGACATCTGTTGTCTTTGAAACAATGTATTTGGTTAAAATCATCCTTTAGGATAGCTGTGTTGGAGTCAATGGATTCACACAAGGAATTCATTTTGATGGGCAGTATTTTTGTATGGATCAGAGCTTGTGCAAGCTTGTAGGAAGTTTCATATTAATTGTACCAGCCTGTGGTAAGTCATGCATTTAGATTTTACCTCAAGTTTCACAAGTATGTTAAGTTCTCAGGAGAACCCAACACACCTCTGGATTCATGCTCCACTGAATTATGAATGTATAAGAAAATTTGGAGTTGACTGACATGCACTATGAAGAAAAGAATATTGTGGTTTTGGACTTCAGGAGGATGGAAATCCCTGCTATTGAAAGTGTTCTTGTAAAATATCTGGGATTCATTAATGCAAGTAACAGTATGTGGGTTTTTTTTAATGATGTGCCCTCTTAATAAAATTACTTTTATTTTCTGTTAAAATTACAGAACACTTCATCCCAATGCCTTTTCTGTAATACAGTGTATTTCATCCTGTATCAATATCATGAAAGATTCCCAAATTTGAAAATCTCCTATGCTGCTAGTGTTCATTACACCTAGAACGCCTTCTAACTGGTTACATAAATACACATTAACAGTGAAAGAAGAGTCAGTTGGGACATGCTGTTTTGCAATAAGAGTCCTGTGTAATAGAACTTGCTTTAGAACCAATACAAAATTGGACTTAAATTATCCAAATTACAAAGAAGCTACTTCTTTTTGCCTCTCTGGCTGCTTCACCAAACAATTTCCAGCCTACTGAAGCCCTCAGCAAAGTCACTGTGAAATCCTGAAGTTTCTGAACCCTTGCCTCCTGTTCCACAATTTACTGAGATTGTAAAAACTTCTAGGCAATCCTGTCACTATGTTTAAACACTACATAGTACACTGAAGCAGAAAGCATATGCATTACTGTAACTGTGAACTCCATGATTGAGGGGAATTACATGCTGTAACCAGGAAAGCAGGAATTAAACTTTTGGCATATATGGCTGTTTTAAAATTCTTACAGGTTACAGCAACTTGGTATTAATACCTATCTTTTAATTCTCTTTTCATCAGAATCTTGTGCAAACTCTATACTCACAACTGAAATAGATTGCTAATGATTGTTTTATCTGATCGGTGTGGTAACATAAACCAAAAGTCTATTTCAAGGAACTCTTACAGTAGGATCATCAGGATTTCGGAAATAATCTTCAGCATGCTTCCTAAACTACTGATATTTATACAAGAGTCCTACTACTTACGATGAACTATGAGAAAATAAGGGCAATGAGGGACATTACTTGGCCCGCTGCTCCAAATTAGAAGCCAGATCCACTGTTACACTAAACTCAACTCTAATGATACTGGTACTGGGAAATGAATAGAAAGAGAGGAGAAACTATGTGTTAAAGAAATTTTTTTTAGTCTGTAATATAAAATGCTCATCATTAAATGACAATTTGAATATTGTTGAATATTTTCCAGACATGTAATGCTTGGCTGCTGTGGGTAACTTGCAAATACTGACAATTCTTCCTGGTAAATTAATAATATGTATTCGTACATTTAACTCAGCTTTAACTTTGTTGTCTTTCCTATAAACAATGCCACCGGTCATGACTAACTAATTTAGGAGTCTATTCCACTTCAAAGTATAAATTTGTTACTCTATTTGCCAGAGCACGGATCCCTGCTTAGTGATTAATGGACACATATTATATGGAAATACACGTGTTAGAGATGCTCAGTCAACTGTTGTCATGCCTTTGCCTCCAATTTTCACCTTTTCTGCTCCTCAGATGTTAGAGAAGCTTAAAAGCAGATGAAAGGTTTGTTACCAGCAGGTTCATCGTTACATTTCCACCCCTTAATAAAGGTGAAAGTTCTCGGGCCTTTCTGCTCAACTTTCCTAAAAGCGTTTAAAAGCAGAAAACTTGCTTAATCCACGAGGTAAAAAAAAAAAAGTCACGCCGCGGACGCGCGTGTGCGCACCTCTCGGGGATTTATTCGAAACGACCGACTGAGGCGCAACTTATTTTCGACAGCTAACTACCTGCGAGGCTCGGCAAAGCCTGAGGGGGGAGCTGCGAGCGGTGGTCGGTCCGCCTGCCGCACTCCCGCCCGGTGACGAGGCCGCCGTTACCTCAGAGAGGGACCGCCGTTACCTCAGAGAGGAGCCGCTTCCCGCCGGCGGGCGCCCTGAGGGAGGGAGGGAGGGACTGACTGACTGAGCTCGCCCGCTTATGGCACCGCGCGTTTTGCTCGTCTCCCGTCCCGGCAGCGACCTCCCCGGGCGGTGGCGGCGGCCCCAGCACCCGCCCCCGGG